AAGTGAGGGACTTTGAGGAGGGGTGGTGTTGAGGGGACTTGAGTTGCATGTAGGGCTCTGGTCTAGATTGGCAGGGCACGGAAGGCCCTGAAATGGCCTTCCACTGGGCACTTGGATGTGACCTCGGTTCCTGGTCTGGGTGCAGATTGGGTGGTGTCTACATCAGTGGAGCCGTGGAGAGGTTGACAATGGGTGGAATTTGGCCCCCTCAGGACCCGCACTTCACTGGCGCCCTGGCACGCCGGCCAAGCCTATGCTTCTGCAAGCCTGTTTTCCAGCAGTTGAACCGTGCCAGGATGCCCAAGGACATTGCAGAGTTCCCCATGGCTTGCAGCCAGGCAGTCACCAGGAATGGCCTGTTTTTCTAGAGTCCACAGGTCTTTAGGGATGGAGGGGACACTGGAGATACTGGGGATTTCTTTTTTTTCAACAGCTGGGTAAACGGAGGTCCAGAGAGAGCAGGGCGCTTGACCAAGGTCTCACAGGGCTGCTTGCCTCATATCTGTCACCTCCCTCTGTTCCCATGTCCCTCGGTCAGACTCCTGGCCTATTGCCCAGGCAGTTGGAACAACCTCCCTCTTGTGGGTTCCCCAAGAGCTTTGTTTGTCCTCCTGTTATCACAGTCTTAACTGTAGCCTACCATGCACACACTGAGTGCGTCTGGTCTCCTGTCCCCCTCCAGTGAGAATACTTGTGGCTGATTCTCCCAGACAGAACAGTGTAGCACAGGGGTGCTGGGTTCAGGCTCTGGAGCCAGACTGACCTCTATTTACACTCCAGCTCTGCTGCTTCCTAGTACAGTGACCTTGGGCAAGATACTCACCCTTTCTGAGCCTCAGTGTTTCTCTGTCCTTAAAATGAAAACAGTTGTTGTTAGCTGCTGTTGAGTCGGCCCCTGACTCATGGTAACGGAATGAAATGCTGTCCCTGTTATCGGTTGCGGATCACACCATTGCGATCCATAGGTTTTCACTGACTGCTTTTTGGAAGTAGGTTGTCAGACTTTTCTTTCTAGTCTGTCTTAGTTTAGAAGCTTCACTGAAACCAGTTCAGCATCACAGCAACATGCAGGTCTCCACTGATAGATGGTGTCTTAGTCTAGGAGCTTCACTGAAACCTGTTCAGCATCATAGCAACATGCAAACCTCCACTGACCGATGGGTGGTGACTGCACATGAGGTGCGTTGGCTGGGAATTGAACCCAAGTCTCCTGTGTGGAAGACAAAAGAAATTCTACCAGTGAGCCACTAATTAAAAAAAAAAAAAAATTGTTATCGAGTCAGTTCCAACCTCCGGTGACCCCGTGTGTGTCAGAGTAGAAATGTGCTCCATAGGGTTTTCAGTGACTGATTTTTGGAAGTAGATCACCAGGCTTTTCTTTCAGGATGCCTCTGGGTGGACTTGAACTTCTAACCTTTCTGTTAGCAGCTGAGTACATTAACTGTTTGCACCACCCAGAGACTTCAAATCACCAATTAGCAGTGCTTAATTTACAGGGCTGTCATGATTATCAAATGAGATAATATGTGAAGTGCTGGAATGCAATAGCTGGTATATAGTAAGTTCTCAAAAATGATCATTGTTATTAAAAAGGCCCATAAATGCTGAAAAGTCTAGGGCATGGAGGAGAAGAGAAAATCTTGGATAGCGAGGCAGAAAGCTTGGGTTTCAAGTTTACTCTGAAACACTGATTAACTGTGCTCTTTTGGGAAGTCACTTGTCGTCTGGGAACCCCACTTTCTTCATTTGAGAAAGAGGGAAGAAATCCCTGCTCTGCTCTTATAAAGTTTTCATGTGATGCAAAGAAATGTGTGTGAGAAAGCTTTGCCTCTGTAATGCTTTAAAAATGGGCAAGTGGTGGCTGTCGCGTGCTGATGAGGCAAGTGGTGGCTGTCCTGTGCTGATGAGGAGGAGGGCGTTGTAACCACAGTAATGGACAACTGGCTTGGCTGGAGGCTGGTTAATTTGCGGAATGCTCCGACGCCCACACAGGCTTCCCCACCCCTGCCTGCCTGCTCCCTGCCATCCAGGAGCTGGCCTTTAATGTTAGCCTCAGCATGACGTATTTGAAAATAGGAAATGTGGGAGGTGAAAAGATCCGGCGGCATCTTCCAGGCCCCAGTGGGTTTTGGGTTATCCATACTGATGCCATGGAATGTGGAGATTAAGAGCCAGACACTGGTTCGAACCTCAGTTTAAATACTTCCCAACTGGGAGCTTGAACCAGTTGCTTAACTTCCATGAGGCTCAGTTTCCACATTTGTAAAATGAGGTCCCAATAAGGTGGAGGCAAAAGCATTTGGCAAAGGGCCACATAGTTATATAGAGTCATTGTGTAATGTGCTTCAGCCTGGAGCAGAGTGGGTTTATGGATTTATCAGTGGTGGGAAGTTGGGGTCATTGTGCTCATTGCTGGGATTAGGCTGCAGAGAGGATTCCCTACAGAATCACCCAGCTTAGAGTTAGGAGGGCATTTGGAGTCATCTGGTCTGACCTGAGCGCTCTTCCCATTTTACAGGTGAACAAAGCAAGGCTCACACAGGAGCAGGTGCTTGCTGAGGTCACTGGCAGGTTAGTGCAGGCCTGGGCTAGGGTGAGGCAAGGGAGGCACCTAGGGCACACAATTTAAGGATGTGCACACTGTCAGGTGCTAGCCCCGTACTTGCACAACCCTGAGAGTGTGCCTCCTTAAATTTAGTGCCCTCAATGCCTGACCCTAGCCCCACTCTGGGTTAGTGTCTGATCTAGGACTAGAACTCAGATCTTTTGACCCTGTGTACTGTTCCCTCAGCCCTGGGAGTGCAGGGACACTTGAGAGGTACCTTCTAGAGTCTTACTGAGGCCCCCCTGGGCCTCTGTAAAAGGAGCTTGCTTTAAGTAGGTCACCTGGCACTTTTTGCTCTGTGTCTCTACTTTCTAGCTGTCTGTATTCTAGAGAAAGAGAGGCCTTCCTGCCCACCTTCTCTACCTCCTGCCCCCTCCCCCAGCCAGCTGTGCCTCCATGTAAACGTGTTGAGCCCCCTTACACCTGAGATGTGTTGGCGGCAGGCTCCTGTCGTGGTGACAAGCTCCAGCGAGTCTGGTAGGATGAGGCCGCTTTCATGTGGGTCCTCATGGGGCCTGTTGGTCTCAGCAGGCCCCGTGTTGTGCCCACTAGGCCTCCAGGAGATTAGAGGGCTTCTGTGGCTCTAAATGCCTCAAAGCTTTTCCCTTCCTCTCTGTGGCCCAGCCCACCTGGCCCCCCTCCGTCTGGCCACCAGGCCTGGAGGCTTTTCAGTACCCCCCACCCCCACCCTGCTTTGGTGTCTTCCGGGACGGCTGTGGTGGGGAGTCTTCCTGGGCCAGTCTCCCTATCACCACGCTGAGCCTGCTGGCTAAGCCTCAGGTGAATTCTTAAGAGTGGCCAGGGCTGCTAATCCCTGGCAAGGGTTCCTAGTATTTACCGGTGATGGCGGGATCTAGGCCACCCTCATGGTGTAACATGAGGGGCCCTGGAAAGTCTGCCCAGTCTCCATGCCTAAGCCCCACGCGCACAAACACATTGTCTTTGCTAATACTGCTGCTTATCGGGCCTGAGACTCAGCCGGTAGCCAGTTGCCTGTGTTCTCCCTGGAGTCCTCTAAGAAGGCAAATACGTTTCCTGGTGGATGCTTTTAAGTGTTTGCTGCTGAGAGAAGAACCCAGGCTAACCAGTTGCTGCTGAATTGATTTCGACTCATACCGACTCCATATCTGTCAGAGTAGAAGTGTGCTCCAACGGGGTTTCTTTTATCTTTTTGTTAAATTTTATTTTGTTCTTGTTGTTGAGAATATACACAGCAAAACATACACCAAATCAACTGTTTCTGCGTGTACAGTTTAGTGAATTATGTTCTTCAAGTTGTGCAACCATTCTTACCCTCCTTTTCTGAGTTGTTCCTCCCCCACTAACATATATTCACTGCCCCCTAAGATTCCTATCTAATCTTTTGAGTTGCTGTTGTCAGTTTGATCCCATAGAGATAGTGCTTAAAAGAGTGTAGTGCTCAAGGCAGACATTTTTCACCAGTTAAGCTAAACTATTGTTTGGTTTTAAGAAGACTACAGGGGATATTTTTGGTTTAAGTTTTAAAGATTATCTCACGGCAACACCAAAGGGTTTTCAATGGCTGATTTTTTGGAAGTAGATTGCCAGATGTTTCTTCTGAGGTGCCTCTGTGTGGACTCAAACTTCGAACCTTTCGGTTAGCAGCTGAGCACATTAGCCATTTGCACTACTCAGACTCTGGACCCAGACGAATCCTGCCCTTTTCCAGCTTACTGTGTGATGGTAGCTGAGCTGCTCCGCCTCTCTGGGCCTCAGCTTCTGGGATTTCGACATCCTGGCACAAATTCTAACGCCCTCCACACCTCTGTCAGTCACCTTTCTTCGCGGCAGGAGGTGGAGCAATGAAAAGGCCTGGCAGCTGAGCTGGGGTGGAAGCGGGGGCCAAAGCCAACCTCACACACATTTAGGACCCAACTGGCCGTAATAAGAGCTATCAGTCCTTCCTCTTCTTCTCAGGACAGGTGGGGAAACTGAGGCCTTGAGGGGTAAGGGCTTTGCTTACGGTCACGTAGGGACGTAGGGAGCTGGGCAGAGCTGGGACCAGAACCCAGTTATCCTTGCTGCCAGCAAGGGCTCCTTCCACTCCTAACTGCCACCTTTCTCAAGAGGGACAGGAGGACCCATCAGCATGAGGGTCAGGGACATGCTTTCTCCTCTTCCGAGGAGAGCACGTCCAGGCCGGGGTACCTCCCTGCAGAGGGATCCCTGGGTTGGGGCAACATTCAGGCAGGACATCCCCTTCTTAAGGTCAAGGAGGTGGGGCTGGTGGCTCCTGGTGAGAGGTGTGGCAAGGGTGGGGGCTGGAGGCCTGTGGGAATGTGGTTGGTGGCTCAGGGTGCCGTAAGGCCACCTCCCTTTTTCCCTTCCTCCCTCCCGGGGAGGGGACAGCCAACAGTAATGCCATTTGTCCTAGCTCTGGGATTAGGTGCAGCCGTGGTAAGTGAGGAGTGTGGAGCCACTGAGAGGACGAGACCAAAGTGAAGAGGAGCTGGGCAGCTGCTGTCTGGAGCTTTGGTGAGTCTTGTCGGTCTCTCCCGGCTCACCCAGTCTGACCTGGCCTCCCTGTACCCTTTGACCCTGTCCCTAGTCCCCTTCCTCATGTCCAGGCCTCCCCTGTCTGCCTGAATGTGTGTGTGTGCATGGGGTGTGTGGGCCTGGGACGCAGGACTTGGAGCAGGACTGGCCCCTGAGCCGGGTGCTGGGTCCTGTCGACATTCAGGACCAGAAGCAGATTCCTCAGGTGTTCAAGCCCTGGGGCCGCCCCAGGAAGATGGCCCAAGGCTGACCTGGCAGATCCCTAGTGGAGGAGGACAAGGAGGAGGATGAGGGATGGGAAGGAAGGCGCAGTTGCTGATGGGGCTTCTCCTCAAAGCTAGGCAAGTCCCCAGATCGACTTGTAGCCAACAGGTCTGAGAGTTAAAGATTTACCTCTGGGCTGTGGGGGAAAGTGGAATGAATGCTCAGATGTTATGTTTCTGGCTTAGGTCCTGTCTAGACCATGAGAGCGAGAGGGGCCCTTAGAAAGTGTTTCCCAGTTCTTAACTCAGCTTTTGGTGGAGGGTGGCAGTGTGGGAGAGGGGGGGAGTGGTTTCACAACCCTCCTGAGTTTATGTTGAACATTGCGTATGTCTGGGGGGAGAGTCCACAACAGCTTTCCTTAGATTCTCAAGGGTTCTGCAACCCCCAGAGGGTCACAGACTTCTCATCCAGCCTAGATCCCTCATTGTGCAGGTGAGGGCACAGAGGCTCAGAGAAGGGAAGGGACTTGCCCAGTGGTTCCCAGGGAGTGAGTAGAGATGCTGGGACAGGCCCTGAGCTCTTGTCTCCGTCTCCCTGTCTCTCGTCAGCATCCTTCATTCTGGACCTTGTGGGCTAACTTAGGAGACACTGCCATCACCTCCGAAGTGTTCAGAGCCTGGGGAGGGGCTGGGTGCTGATGTGGACTCCAGGCCCTCACAGATACTGGCTCTGACACCCGTGGAAGGAGTCCCCTTGACATGCTTGCTCCTTGGAATCTCTCAGGGGCATCTGGATCGAGGAGGGGGCATGTGGGAGGGTAGGCGCTGTGATGACCAGCGTTTCCCAGCTCCTCTGCAGGGGAAAAGTTCAGGGCATAATGCTGTTGTTTCTACCTCATTGGAAATAAATGACGAATAAATGAGACAATGATTGCGGTGTTTGGTATAGAGCTGGTACATAGCATACCCGTGAGGCATGCCAGTCACCACTCTCCCTTGTATTGTCCCTGTTAGCCTTCCTGCTTCTACCCCACTCCTGCCTCTCTCGCCTCTTCCTGAGAGTGAGGCCTCCTTCTGGGGCATGGAGGTAGCCGTGCATTCTTATGAGGGCCCTGCCTATATGGGACGACAGAGGCCCCCTGGGGTGGAGGAATGTGAGAAACCTTTGGCTGGAATCCTGCCTTTCTGGGGGACCTGTGGTACCCCACTGTGCCAGGACAGGCTTTCCTAGGAGGCTGGAGCTATGTGTCACTGGGGAAGCTGGGTCAGCTTGCATTCATGCGGCTTCAAGGCCTCGGGCAGCCTTGAGGCCGGTCATTTGCAGCAGGCCTGTCCTGGGTGTGCTCTGGGCTACAGAGCTGGCTCAGGACTGGAGTGGAATGCTGGGCGGAGAAACCGTATAGGGGTTATGAACAGGTGCTCCAAGGTGGGTTCGCTTAGGGCAGTCCTAGCTCTGCTTCTTGTGAGCTGTGTGACCTTGAGTCAATCACTTACCCTCTCTGAACCTCAGTATTCTTCTCTGTAAAGTGCCGATAGCAATGACACCACCTCTTAGGATTGTTGTGAGGACTGGATGTCATAAGCAGGGAAAGTTCTTTGCACAGCCCTGGTGAGTGGGCGGAAGCTTGGTAAGTGTTGGCTGTTGCTGCTATCAATGAGAGAGGTTAGGCTATTTGTAAGAAAATGTCATTCCATCCTTTCCAGTGCCTATAATACTGAGCCACAGATAAATAGATGGCTTTGACTCTGTCGTAGGCAGATTTGGGGGATGGGCAGAGAGGGAGCCCTATTTTGGGAAACTTCACGCGCTAATGAATAAGCCTTCCAGCCCTTGGTCTGTGTGACGATCTTTGGTGGGGCTGGAGGTCAGCTTGTCCTGACCTGTGCTGTTCTCCACGCTGCCCCTGCTGCCCCATGCTGCCTTGTTTGTTTGCTTGGTAAACCCTTTCTTCAGAGCTGGTACAAAGGTAGACTCTCAACTCAGACTCTGTTGGAATAAAGACAAATTCCCCAACAAGTGGGGTCTAAGTTCCTGAGGTTTTCCCTGACCGGGCACCCAGAACGAATGCCCAAGTAAAGAACCGGGGTGTGAACCAGCGCTTTGTGCTTGTTTGCTTGTTTATTGATGGGTGATTTATGGGTTTGTTTCCAAGGAGGATCATTAGAGGCTGCTTGTGATGGTAAAACACACATAAAATGGGATGCAAACAAAAACAGAATGCAAACCATTCAGAGAGAGCAGAAAATGGGATGTACAGGGCACCTGGCATGGGTTAGCTGTTGTAAGTAAGCACAAAGGGGCCTGTGGAATCGGGAGGAAGCACCTAGACTCCAGAGGCAGGTGGCCCTGTGCTGAGTCCCATTCATCTACTCATTAGCTCTGGAGCTGGGGTCAGTCACGTGCCTTCTATGGGCCTCAGTTTCCTGATTTGTAAAATGAGGGAAGTAATAGGTCACAAAAGGAGCCCTCGTGGTGCAGTAGTTAAAGTGCTCTGCTGTGAACCAAAAGGTCAGTGGTTTGCACCCAGCTGCCACTCTGTGGGAGAAAGATGTAGCAGTCTGCTTTCCATAAAGATTTACAGCCTTGGAAACCCTATGGGGCAGTTCTACTCCGACCTATAGTGTCACAATGGACTCGATGGCAGTGAGTAAGTAATAGGTCACGGGGCTGTTGTAAGGATTAAATAGTAGCATGTGGTACAGGCATATAGTGTGTAATAGGTGGAAGTTAAAATTCCGAATGCGTCTAGCTTGGAGATTCCCCGTAGCAGATTCAAAAAGGGGAAGGTAGCGAGGAAGGGCACGTGGCTCTTGAGCACCTGCCGTGGGTGCCGCTCTGGGTTGTGAAATGAGCAATGGAAGGAAGAGATGCTTCTGCGCTGGAGAGTGCTCAGTGAGGTTAGGAGGCCAGGGTTGCAGCCACTAGAGCAGTATAGCGTGCAGCATTGCATGGTGGGGTGCAGAACTGGAGTGCTTATCCAGGCCTTGGGAGCCCCATGCAAGTGGAGCTGACTCCAGGCTGAGGCTGGCCTTGGAGAGGGATGGATGAGAAAATGAGGGGAGGGTGTGTGGAGTATGGGAATCCCTTTCAGGGTATGGCCTAGGGTAGGTGGGGGTAGGGCCGGCTTGGTCGGGGTGACCTCAACAGGTCCATTTCTCTCGGCCTCAGCATCCCCATCTGCTACTGCAGGGTGGGCTGCAATCTCTGCCGCCCTGTGACTCCAAGCCAGACCTCCGAGAGTTCTCTGGTGGTGCGGCACTGGACTCCGAGGTGACTGACAGGCAATAGCTTGGCCCCTGGCCAAGCAGCACAGTGGGGGCCAGCCAGGACGGGGGTGGGACTTACCGTGAATTCCAGCAGAGGAAGGGATTTGCTTCTGGTCTCAGCCTCCCAGGGGTATAATTGCACTGGAGAAACTCCCGCACAGCTGGGAAGCAAATGTGGAGAATTTTTTGTTGCTGCGCTGTAGATGGTGGGCGGGGCAGGCTGTGGCAGGCTGACTGGTGGAGCTGGGTGGCTGTGGGGTGTGGCTGGGTGGTGGGTGGTGGTGTGACTGTGCTGGGGGTTTGACAGACTGGGAGGGGCTGGGTCAGCTGTGGGGAGTGCCCTGGCATGGATGTGGGGCTACCAGTGCCTGGGCCTACAACCACCACCCCTGCCCAAGCCAGTGCCCATTCACTTATCTGAGCCCCTGCCCTGACCTCCTCTCAGCTCCCCTGGTGCTGGTGGTGTGGCTCAGATGCCTGCAATGATGCCATGTGAGTTTGTCTATGCATTCCCGTGAGAGAGAGAGAGAGAGAGTGTGTGTGTGTGTGTGTGTGTGTGTGTGT